ATAAAATGGCGTTTATGATGGGCAAAGTTTTCATCATTTGCAATTTGCTTTTGACCCTCTTCCACCCGTGTGCCCCCCTCACCGCTGGTCCACTGGTTTTGGTTGAGTTTTCCAGCAAATTTAACATAAAACATTTTTTTTTTCTGGTTTGAAGATTTTTTTTTCCATGCCCTTCGTTTTGTTTTCAAACTGTTTTAAATAAATGATTTTTAGCGCACCCAAAACTTTATTTGGATGTCGCTATATCTATGGATATATTTATTTATTTATCTATGGATGTATCTATTTCTCTATGGATATATCTATATATACATATCTATGAACGTTGTTAACTGTTTTCCCGATGTCTGTTCGCACAATTTAATGCCATTGACTGAACATTTAATTAATGTTTTTTCCGCACAAAAAAAATCACAAAAAAAAGGTGGAATAGTCTCGTGTCCTCCCATTCCGCACATACGACAGGAAAACTTTACGAGAGAAAGGGAGACTGAGGGCACGGGGCACTGGGCAATGGGGAAAAAAGTTGTACGAGTAATTCCATGAAAATGGCATTTCATTCAATTCAATTTCATGGCTCTGTAATTATTTTGTACAAAATGTTTTCTGGGTCCTCCTCGTCGCTCTTATGTACAAAGTGCCACACACACACACACACACACACAAGTAACCGTACAACGTGCCACACAACGCTACAAACTGTCCCGACAACTAATCAAGTCGTGAGTCAATGAAGCAAAGCTCTCTCGCTCGCTTTTGCTGGGTGGTAGGTACAAATGTCAAAGTTGAATATGCTTTTGGCTAGGGAAAACTGTACGTGTGTGTGTGTGCCTCTGTGTGTGGGCAAACTGTGCACTAAATTAATGAAAAATACATTTAGAGCCAAGAGAAAATTCACTTGCGAAAATTACGATAAAATATGTACATATTCACTTTATGAGAGTATTTCCATTACCTAGGCCTCTCTCTGTTGGGCTGTCTTTATTAGCCATTTTCATTTAATTTCTGATTGATGGCAGAAGGAAATCGTATAAATTTTCCCATTTTCATTGCACTTCCGTTGGAGAGACGGGAAGGCTCTCCTCTGGCTAATCATCCATCATCAATTCATTAATTTTAAATGATAATTCAAAAAGTTTTGTAATTTCTTCAATCAATTTGTGGTAATCTGCTCTTGATAGTCTTCGTATTTGTTCTTAATTGATAAATTTTGCACTTTGTTAAGGTTCTTTGATGCAGGAAGGTGCACAAGAGTTGGAAATTCTCAAAGGGAAATGCTTTTAATCCTTTCTTTGCATGTAATTGAGAGTATAGCAAAGTAACTTCATGGACGGAATAATTTAATTCTCTTCAATTGTAGGCTTTCATTCACTGAGGAATAGATTTATGAGAGATTAACAGTGTGATTCAAAGGAGGCTCCACAGTAGCTGCAGCTGGAGCTCGGTGCTAGATCAGGGCCCGAATGCAGTGCCAGAACTTTTGTATTACGAGGAAGAATCTTCTAGAATTTTGCTTCACAAAGGATCCAATGCTAGTGTTCTCCAGCGAAAATAGAATAAATATTTATATGAAAGAAGTTACACCTTCTTGGATTCCACTTGACCTCTTGCCACAATTTTGAGGGGCTGTAGCTGCCGTTGGAGAGGGAAAGGGAGGGAATGTATGTCACTTGCTAATTAGCTGCCACTTGACTGCCGCTGCCGCTGCCGCTGCTGCGCTTACATAGAAAATAATAATGCATATGCATAGGCGCCGCCATCACCATGTCACGCATATGTCACATGCAACGTGCAACGTGCAAGCAACCCACTCAAAGGTCCTTGAAAGCAGTGCAACAGTCGCGTCGGCAACAAGCAACAGCCCGCAAGTGGGCGTGGCATAAAGCGTGTGGCATACATTCTGTGTGAGCGTGTGTGTGTGCCCCCAAAAAGATCGCATTAGCCAGATACTTATATGCTGCAGAAAGTGATCCCTTAAATATGGAATACATTAAGGAACAATTTCTTCGTGTGATTTGCATAAAACAAAACGGATTTCCATGGCTAGGAATTTCCCCCATGTAACGTACGATATCTCTTCTGGAATACTCAGATATTGGGACTTTAAAGTGATTTTTCAAGATTTTCCATGCACAGTACGATATTTGTATGTTTGCTGTTAATTCCTGGTAGATCTTTCACGTGAAACCCGTCCTTAGACGCTTCGGAATCCCTATCTTCAATGGTTCTCCAAAATCTTGCTTCTGAATTCCACATTCCAAATATAGATTACTTTTCCGAGCACATTCTCTGGCAATTATTTTTGGGAAAACCCTAAACCAAGGAATTCCCATCATTTTCAAGCCAGGATCCTTTGCTTTTTTTTTTTAGCATTTTCTTTCTTTTTTCTTGTATGCTGTCTGCAGGGCAGTTTGCCAATTCATTTTCACTTCGAGTAAAATTAATTAGAAATCAACAAAATGAGCAAGACGGCGGCAAAGGGTGGAAGGAGCTCAGACAGTGCCTTACATAAATCTTCGGACAAGGAAAAAAAACCGAAGGAGAAGCAGTACAAGAAAACAGCAAGGAAAAAAAATAAACAAAAATAATAAGGAACGAAAAAAACATTTTTCACTCTTGGCAAATGGACAATGAGAAAACCGACCAGCCCCTCCCAACCCAACGCAACCCAACCCAACCACACACCCCTCACTCCGCTAAACAACAATGAAAATGAATGAATAATATGAAAAGATTTTTCAGTTGCATTTTTTCCCATTGGGCTTTGGGCTTTTCCTCCCTCTCTCTTTTTTCCGCGCTTTCGCTGCTTTTCAATGTAATTGAAAACATTTTTGTTGTGGTGGTCGGTGGAAAATGGCTGGCTTTTCTTTGGAGTAACCCAGTTACCCTGGCCCCTCCTGCTGCTGCTGCTGTTTGGGCTCTGGCTAATAATGATTATTATTTCTGATTTATTTGCGGTCATTCTCCAGCTCGATTTTTGTTGTAATTATTGGAAGGAAAATGTGCTGGTTTAGGCAGTTTTCCAACTGCACCCACGCCACAAAATAATTTTACCGTTTTCCGTGTATGTGTGTGTGTGTGTGTGTGTGTGTGTAATGAAATTTCCCCTGTGCTTTGGCCACACAATGAGTGTCATTATCATTCCATTCACAGTCACAGTCTGTCCCTCACAATCGCTCCTCTGGCAGTCCCTCTTTCATTCGCTCTGTCAATCCCTCGCTCCCTCCTTCAGTCACTCATTTAGTCAAATATTTGTATAATTTGTCTTTATTGTCATTCCAACATTAGGCACATTTGTTGCCGTCGATTATCATGGGTACTCTTTAAGTGGACAAACAGCTGACGCAGCTCCTCTCTCCGTGCCGCACATTTTCCGTCTTTTATTTTTCTTATAGCCACTTCTGAGGGTGTGCCCCTCCTGTAATTTGTCCTAAAAGCTGAGAAAGTGTATGTAAATTGGCTTTATTTTCGGCACTTGTTGGGGGGCCACTCACTCAGGAATGGGGGATGGATAAGGCTGTCAGGGGGCGCTCATGAATGTGGGATGGTGGCAGTCGGCAGGGGGCATAAGGAAGTTGTCATTATGGGTCGACATTATATGGGTGAATGGATAAAGAGAAAGCGTACAGAAAGGTTAGGTTTATGGGAATAATATCAATTGAAATTTTCATTTAAAATTTCATCAAATAAATCCCTAAATTTACTGTCACTTTTATTAGATTATAAACCCCTTTTAAGACTTTTTTTCTGAGAATATCTCTCTTGAGAAATAGTAGCCATAAGAACCCCTTTTCCTGAAACATTTTTCACAAATTGAAGCATTTGAAAACCATTGAAAACCCTTCAACAAATCTTCCATAAACTCTGGAAAATCGTAGCACAAAACGAGGACCAATTTTCTTGGTATTTGAATTAAATTTAACATCTACAAGAAATTCTCAACATTTCTTGAAAAAGTTGATAGTCAGCCCCTTCTAAAACGGCGACAATTCTCATTGCAATCCTTTTTTAAATAAGTATCTCTCCCTCTCATAATATCTGCTGGAAACATTGAAAATTAATATACCATGGGGTTTGAGCTCCAAACTCATAATATTCGGGGTATTTTTCAGCTTTGATTCAGCTACAATAACGTTAAATATCATATTTAATGATATAATATTGAAATCATTACACACAATTCACAGAAATTACTTCCAAATATGAAAATTTAACGTAAAATATGTTCAGAAAAAAAACCAAAAATTTAAATGAAACAATCTATGGGAAAATCTCCTCCCAAAAGTTATATACAAGTACACATACTCCTCAAATAAATAAAACCTCCTTCACGAGGAACTTGAAGTGAAAATTTATAAAATACAGCCCAGAAATATACAAAAATGTATGTCTCAATGGAAAACCATATTCTATACCCCTCAGGGTCGTATAAAACCAAAAGAAATTCATTTAAATCCCAAAAAAATTACCTCAAAAAATACCCAAAAAGTGGTAATCCCTAAAGTTGAGGAACTTCCCTTTAAAGCAATCTATGGAAAAGTCTGCTCCTTAAAATAAATAAACTTTTTCCTCAAATGAGTATAACCTCCACCCAAAACGCATCTAAAAGTAAACCTACTCTTAAAACTCCTCCACAGAAACCATAAAGAAAGATACATATACATATATTTTTTGTGAATCCAAAAGCGTGAACAGCGCGAATAATAAATGATAATGAGAAACCGCCCGAAAGAAGCCTAAAACAGGACCTGCTTTCCGCGCGCGAGGGCGGAACAGGATAATCATCCAGGAAGCTACGAAAATTGAAGGAGAACCAGCTGTAAAGGAGCCCCATTTAATGTGGAGAAGGAGGACTGCCTGCCCTCGTAATTATTTTAATATTTAATGAGGAAAATCAAAAGAAATAGCGAATACACGAGTCACGGAGACACACCCGAGGGAGAGAGCTATGCAAATGTCCTTCTGGAGGATGAACAGAAGGAAGAAAGAAAGGGACTTACCAGGGGCACAGGTATGACACAGTAGACACAGGGGTGCCCACCAACAGCAGCAGTCGGCAGACCGTAGGCACCGTTCAAGCACAGCTGATGATGATCCGTTTTAAATATCTTCGTTGGCGGCGGTTGGGCAATCAGCGACGAGGAGGCGCTCGAGCACGTGTACAGCGTCGTGGTGGTGCCGGTGCTTTGATTACTTCTCGCTGGAGTCCTTGATCCCGCTCCTGCTGTCTTTCCTTTCGATGTGGCTGTGGCTTCTTGTTGGACTTCTGCTGTCGGTGGCGGCGGTGGTGGTGGCGACGACGACGGAGGTGGTGGCGGTGGTGGTGGTTGATTCAAAAAGTGTTGTTGTCCTGTGGTGACTCCTGTATTGTCGCTGCTGACCGAGGCTTTAGCCTGAGAATTTATGGGGGATGTGTTCCTGTTTGTTCCTGTGTTGCTGTTGTTGTTGGTTGCTGCTGCTCTTGCCGCCGCTGCTGCTGCTGGTGCTGTTGCTGTTGCTGCTACTGTTGCACTTGCTCCCGCTGCTACTGCTGCTGTTTGTATTGCTGTGGTTGCCTCTTGTATTTGGCCAACTGTTGACACCAATTGCTGGCTGCTTGCAGCTGCTGCCTCCGCTCCTTGTTGTTGCTGCTGCTGCTGCTGTTGCTCTTCAGGACCAAAATTTGTAAGCTTCAATGTGGCTGGTGTCGGCAACGGTGAGGTTTTTCTCTTGATTGACGCAATTTTAATGGCTATTGAGCGGCGATGCGTTGAATTTTCTTTCCTTTTTCTTTCCCTTTGCTTTTCCGACGACTGTCTGTCTGCCTTTTCCTTGCTACTTTTATGGCTTTGTGTTTGTTTGTTTATTTTTTAAACATTTACTAGGTATTTTTTTTTAATGGGATTTACCAACACTAAACACTGACTAACACTGAATATTGGAATATTATTTTTAGCAGTTACTGTTAAAGCACACACAGAGAATGACACAATATTTAAGCTAAGCTTTTTTTCTTATTATTTTTTTTCTAATTTAAGTTTTCTTTTTTTTTGCTAAATTTATTTTTTTTTTTTACTCACAATTTAAGCTAGAATTCTGTTTAATATTTTTTTGGATTTTTTCTGTAATTTTTAATAGTATTTTTAAGTTAATGTCTCAAATTTAATTTGGTTTTTATTTTCAAGAATTTTTATTATTGTCTTTATTTATCGCTTAGTTTTTTTTTTATAGATTTCTTTTAAAAATAATACTGTTTTTTTCACTTTCAAGTTTTTTGTCTAGTATTTTTTGTTGGTAGAGTTTTTAACTCTTTTTATTTTTTAGTTTAGGAATTTTCTTTCTGGTGACAATTGTTGCATTTGGAGACCTACTTTGAGTAGTATTTTGTTTTTTAATTTGATGGGTTTCTTTGAGCAGTTTTTTTTTTTTTTTTTTTTGCAATCTTCAGTGTATATTTCTCGTTTGTATATTTTGTAAATAATACTGAAACTTCACTTGCACTTCATTCTTCTTGCGAGTAAATATATGTATAAGATATATTATCTTATATCATGGACAGAATGTGAACTGATTCGTAGATTATTACGTATACGCACAATAAATCGGGGGAAATCTCTATATATTATTGTAGTAGAACTTTCTATCTTTCTCCTTTCACACACACAGAAAATGGCGAACATGCACTTTTCTCACTCCTCTGTAGCTGTCTGGCTGTCTGGCTGCTGACTCCTCTGTCTAGACTGTGGATTTTCAGATGTTTTTTGGATTTTTGGGTTTTTGGGGACCTGGGATTTCGATTCCGATTTGGCTTTTGGATTTTGCTATTGCTTGAATACTCTTCTGCTTGGGATCTTCAGATCTTTTGGAGGGGGGGCTGTGGCTGTGTGGCTCCTCTTTGGTGTCGTGGCTTTCCGTCGCTTTTTGGTTTTGGTGCGCAAAATGAGGAAAAGGCGGTGTTTGTAACTTAACTTGACAATCGTCGAATGGATTCTGAATTTCTCATTGAGTAAGGTTGGACACGACCCTCTAGCAGCAGGATGTGGCAGGCATTCGGTTTCGGCGTTCGGTTTTCTGCTTCGTTCGGGCCCGCGTTGCATGCCACACACTGGCGGAGGCCGGCAAAATGCCTTTTGTTGGGTGTGCAGAATCCACAAGCCGACGCAGGCGCACAACCAAAAGGGCGGCATTCAGCGGCTGCATTGAAGAGCGTGACTGGGCCCCCCTCTCCCTTGCCCAAAAAGAATCCGAATACGAATACCGGACTCCCGATTCACGACTCCGATTTCCCGCATTCCCCATTTCTCATTCCCCACCGATTCCCAATTGAAATGCATCTCAGCCTACGATTTGTATGCGGTCGCAATTACCTTAACAACTTTCTGGCATTCCGGCTCATCCGTTTTCATCCGTAATTGTCAACATTGAATTTAATCACAAATTAATACGTGACCAGAGCCCCGTCTATATAAACACAAACATACATATATCTCTATATCTCTGTATATTTCATCCCCCTAAAATACTCGATTTTGTTCCAGCAACAACTTTAGTTAGCGCAAATACTATCAAAAGTTTTTTAAGTTTTGAATATATTTTTTGGGCACGAAACTTTAACTAAAACTTTGACAAGAAAAATACTCGAAAAAGGGAAACAAGAAAAAATAGAGTATAAGCAAACACAAGGGTGTATTATGATATAAAAATAGGAATAGATAGGCTTCATCAGTTAGAGATCACATATAGAGTGACAGAATGGGGGTATATATGAGAAAAAGAAACGATCATATAGACTATAGACTTCTGATCACTTGAACGACAGAAAATGATAGAAATAGCAATCTGGATAATCAGGGGAAATCTAACGATAGTATTTTGTTGAGAAATATATATTTTTGAATAAGCAATAACGATAAAACGATTCAATAAACAGACTTTATGGAACAATTAATATGGAAAGAATATAATACAATACAAACACAACACAATATCATCATAAATGCTACAGAAAAGAATGAAAAGTTCCTATAAATAAATATAAATTATTAAGATATAATACATTTAGATAAGACAGAATCGTTATAGAAATGATTCACAATGCATTCCTTTTAATGAAATATATGGCAGAAGGCAGATGACTAATGGAAACAATGCAAATATTATAAAATATACTATGAGAATTGCGCATTAAAAATAAATATTTACAAAATTACAGATTATATTGGAAAATCCTCACAAAAAAATTCTAGCAGTACTTTCTCTCGTACTAAACGCCTTGTAAACTTAACTCCTACTCCAGCAAAAACTCTTCGCAAAACTCAACAATATCCATTACCCAGCAAATCTCTTCGCTCTTTGCTCTTTTGGTGGGAAAACTCTTCCCTTCGCGAGTTCGGGGGAAACCCCACCACCATACAATGCAAAATCTTTCGTCCATTACCATACAAAAAAGAGCACAGAGAAAAAAAAAAGGCACACAAAATGTGGACTAAAGTAATTTAAAATATATCTTCCCTTAAACTCCATAAACTTTAGCAAACTTCAGCGCATTTGCTCCTTTATTTATTTTTTCTGGCGTGTAGAATGGAAAATGGGAAATATAATTTTCATTCCAGGCACAATAACTGTGCGGCGCTGACTAAGCGCGGCGACTGTTTACAATTTTCTAGCTGGGGTTTTTCTTCTTTTCTTATATTTTTCACTCGAATTTTCCTTTTTTTTTTTTTTATGTGGTCTCTAAATGTTGGATGTTTGGCTGCAGCTAGGGAGATGTTGGTTGGTTGTGTAAGAGCTGAAAGCTGTTTAAATGAAAGAACCTCCACGGCCCATGCAACGGCTGTTGGCCATTAGAAGGATGCTGGCCAAAATAGATGCTCTCGGCCTACAAAAGAGGAGCGCCACCATTTCACATCCATCCTCTACTCTACCTGGTGCTCATTCCCTTCCGCACCCTGCATTGTGCAGCAACAGCTTTGAATAGTTTATGTGAAGTACATATATAAAGAGGGAAACGTGAGTTCTATTTACGATATCAAGACTAAAGGATACCCCCAAAATAACAAGAAAATATAAAGACTGAACGTTGCAGGAGGTATAAAATAGCTTATTAGAATATTTTAGCTGCTTCTGAAGACCACTAAAACTTTGGGTTAATGTGTTTTTAGGCAGGAATATCCAGGATACAGCTTTTATATTATCTACAACACGCCGCCCATTACTGATCGACTCTTACGCACAGCAACTTACATACATGCGTGTGCTTACCTAAAGCTGTTCTAAAGTCTTCAAACTCTTTGGGTTCTTGGATTTTTTGCAGGAATACATATAGATATTTCCTCTAACCATTACAAATATCCCCATTAAAAAAATATATACCCCTACAACAGATATTTCTGGGGTAAATACGCAGTTAAAACAGAATTCGTAGGACTGTAGGGAGGAGTGGCAGAGCGACTACCTACGAAAATGTTGCCTTTGTGTGATTTCCATTTCATGTTATATTTTTTTGTTTGCTTGGTTCGGTTTTTTAGAATGCAAATGCATAAATTATGATGGAAATATGACAATGCAGTCCCACCCACATTACAAACCACATGAAACAGAATGTAATTCCATTGAAATTAGCAAGGGAAAAATGGTCTTACTTTTGGGGTTTTACTCAGCCCCCCCACCCGTGAGTGAATAATGATTTATCCAGGTATAATGGGAGGCTAGGATTCTCTCTGTCTCACTGGTTAGGATTAGGGGCAACTGCAACTGTCAGCAAATTGATGGCGGGAATGGTTGGGAAAGAAATCCATATCATTGCCAGGCCATAGCCGCCGCATCAGCGGGAGCAATTTTCCACTCAAATGCCTTCTTCTCTCCCATCTCTCCGATGGATGGATGTGTCTGCGTATGACACATGTCGATTGCAGTGCCGAGTGGCGCCTCCTATTGGCAGTGCAGGCGGCAGGCGGTAGCACGCCCTCATCGCTCAGGAATGAACGAGAGTGAAGGCCCCGTGTCTGAGTGTGATTTGAATGAACGATTGACTGAACGAGCGAATGTTTGGTGTGTGCCTGTGTGTGAGTGAGTTGTTTGATTGCTTGATTGATGCATGGCGCCCACTGATTGATGGCGACTGATTGGTTGAATGCTAAGGGAATGGATTTCCAAAGCTTCAAGTAGTGGAACCCTCGACGAAAGCTTTCGACAGTATTTTCCATCCATAAATAATTATCTAAAATAATCAATTTGTCATATAAATATGGACTTACATTCGAATAATTCTGTGATCGTGGCATCTGTGGTGGCAATAGCTGGGAATTCGAGGGTCCTCCACCTCTCATATGAACCCCACCGCCTCCGCCTCCACCACCCTGCTGTTGGTGGGGTCCACCTCCTCCCATTTGTTGTTGCTGCTGCTGGTGCGGCGGTCCGGGGCTATAGCGGGGATGCATTGCAAGTTCTTGGATTTTTAACTTTTGTTCCTATTAGTTCGTTAAACACACTTTCGATTTTCACTCGCGGCTGCAGAGAAAACAGAAAGCACTTGATTAGGGAGTGGGTTTTAAGAGGAAAGTGGAGCTATTTAAATGAACTTGGATGAGTAATTTTGCGTAGATTTTAATGAAATCTAAGTATTTCAAGTGTAAGTCGAGTTCTTTAGATCATCTGACAGTCATCATTTTTAAGTTTTTCATCACTAATTGGGGTTTACCAACACTGAAGAGAGTTTGTGCCTTCCCTATTCCCATTCTGTAATAGACTTTATTAACACTTTTCCCTATTGAAATGTCAGTAGAAGACGAAGGAAAGCCCGAGAGAAAAGATAGTTTATTTTAAATCTATCCCGCTATCCTTTTTCGACCTCACTTTT